CAGCCTTCTAAGGGTGGATAGACTGTGTGGATGATGAAACAGCAAGGACTTCTGAAAATCTGACCTTATTTTCTCAGCTCCTGCCAGAATTCTAGGAGAGAAAGGTTTAACTTAGGTTCCAAAAAAAAATTTTTTTTCTCCCCTCAACGAGTTAGGAGATTTGTGGAACATAAAAAAGCAAGACAGAAGGAAGATGAACTGAAAATAATAATACAAAATTTAAGAAGCAAAACATATGGCAACTTCACTTCATTATTATGACAATAAGGAAGATCACTCAAAGTGTTACATCAAATCACCTAGCACAAATGTATGAAATAACTTAAAATTTTATGTAAATTGTACCTCAAAAAAGCTGGAATAAAACATGCAGCTATTGTTTTCAATATTATGGATCAAAGCAGTTTCTCAATTTTTAACCTATGCCCCCCTACAAAGTTTTCTCATTCTATTCTTCATGTACTCCACAAACCAAGATTTTGTCCAGTTTTACTCTCTACAGTCTATTACTACAAAAACAATAGGTTTGCTTAATATGTTTTTCCAAGACACACTCTCTCTCCTGGACATTCTAACAACTACAAATATAACACAAATACCGACTTAAAACGACTCTAGCCTGGTCAATATATATCCAAGGGGCCATAATCAAGCCTGGTCTTTTTTAAGAAAAACATTATCCATGGTAAAGATTAAAAGACTGAAAATTTCTAAGTTGACACATTTATTTTTTAATATATATTTGTTAAAATGTTTTTCTAAACATCTGTCTAATCATTATATATTTTTATCATTATACTTTTAGCTATTTTCAATTTCCCATAATTCTCTCATAAAAGAAATTAGCCTTTGAGTCTTACTCCTCCAAAAGAAATTTTCTATGTTCCATCTTATTCTCCAAAGTTAAATAACTTTAGGTAAATGATAAAAATAAAAATCTATGTACATTAAAATAACATGTAAGTGAAATCTATATAACAAACATCCAAAAAAAAAAAAATCAAACCATTTTTTCTTCAGCCTACAAACCATATGTTAAAGATCTACACTACAGCCCTGACCAGGTCGCTCAGTTGGTCTGAGCACTGTCCCATGCACCAGAAGGTTGTAGGTTCGATTCCATGTCAGGGCACATACCTAGGCTGTGGGTTCAATCCCTGGTTGGGGCACGTGCAGAAGGGAACAGACTGATGTTTCTCATATCAATGTTCATCTTTTTCACCTTTCCTCTCTCTCTAAAATCAGTAACATATTCTCAGGTGAGGATTTAAAAAAAAAAAAAAAAGATCTACCTACAGATGCTGTGCTCCTCAATTCTAACACCCGGACTTCACTTCTCATACTTTGACCACTTAACTCACAAGACACCCGATAGTACCTTTAGTATACAATTTCTAAGGTCTGTGTCTCTGTCCCTTCTATCTACAATCACAACAAACCTGTCCTCTTAGGTTATTTTTCTCTTTTAATGCTTCCCTAAGTTGCAGTGGGTGACAAAAGAAAAAGTCAAAAAAGAAACAGGATCAACAAGATTATGCTATTTCAAAAGCTCTGCTTCCCAAAACAGCTAAATTCCTCAGGGATGTCATCAAATACTTAGATGATACAATGTCTTTTTTTTTTTTTTTTTAAATGAGCATAACTTTGAACATAAAGAGTCAAGTGAACTACTACTTGGCTGTAAAAAAGAAAAAAAAAATTTACCTTTTGAGACACATGGATGGACCTGGAGAACATGATGGTAAGTGAAATAAGCCAGTGAAAGAAAGAAAAATACCACATTATTTCACTCATATGTGGAATCTAATGAACAAAATGAACTAATAAGCAAAATAGAAACAGACTCATAAAGAACAGGGTGACAGCTAAGAGGGGGAGGGGCTGGGGTGGAGAGTGTGTGGAAAAAGGAAAAAGGACCCATGAACAACAGCATGGTGATTGCAGAGAGGAGCAGGGTATAAGAGGGTTAAATGGTAATGGAAAAAATACAATAAAAAAATTTTTAAGTGACCAAAAAAAAGAATGAGCATAGCTTTAAACATTAGAGTCAAGCGTAATGCTTCTCAGTATTTCTGGCTTACTAGAAATTTTTCTATTTAAATTGCACCAAACACCAAACTACTACAGATCTCTCATCCAAATCATTTCATCACAACCATCACTGCCACCCTTAAAATTTAAAATGGGAGACTTAACTAAATATGTGAATAATACATTTTATAACTAGTGTATCTGTATAATGCAAATAATTAAGATAAGCAGGGAGACTCCATGGTGTACTTAGTTAATAGAACCAGTCTATACATTTTTTTAAGGATTTTATTTATTTATTTCTAAAAAGAAGGGGAGGGAGAAAGAGAGGAGAAAAACATCAATGTGTGGTTGCTTCTCGCACACTCCCAACTGGGAACCTGGCCTACAACCCAGGTATGTGCCCTGAATGGGAATATAACCAGCAACCCTTTGGTTCACAGGCCAGCACTGAATCCACTGAGCAACACCAGCCACTGCTGGTCTATACATTTCTATACATTTAATCAGCCTTTTGGCATAAGGGCATAATTTTACTATTATATAATAGTTATGAACCTTATTTTGCTTTTTCAGACTGTTCACAGCAACCTTGCATCAATCCATGTAGCTCTCTCATATACCCACACACCCCCATATCACGTATGTATATATACATATATAATTGATTGAATAATTTTATCTGTTGTTCCATTATTGATCAGGAATACAACCTCGTTTTAATAGTGCTCACTAAAACATGACAACTCTACGATGCAGGTACCATGAGCACAATGAAATAAGAAGCAGATCTTGCCTGTATACAAAAATAGTTGTATTATTTCCTCGCTGAAACTCTGTTCCTAGAACATTTGACCTTACTACTATGAAATAAGTTTAAAACGTACTTCTAGTCTTCTTGATCTTATAAACATATGCACCATTTCTTAATTTAGTCAAAGTTAACTTCATTTGTCAAATCACCAGTTTTCTGATCTCATTTACAGTCTGAAATATTAAAGTTTTACTTTTGTTTATTCCTCCATTTACTACTAATCCTCCTACAAACAGAAACTTTTTAAACACTGAGGTTTAGTTTAATTCAATTTATACGTGATAAAACAAGCAAAAAAGAACATGGTATTTTCTAGCCTTTGGCTACTAGAAAAAAGAAAAAAAGTTTTAATGTTACCATTCTCTTTGTAAAATTCATCTTTAATTAAACTGAGGCCTTACGCATTTGTCAGAATCAAATAAAAACACCAAGCCACTAACAGACTGATCCCTTCAGGAACTCACTCAGAACTCTATTAATTAAACTAGTCTTTACACTTTGAAAATACTATTTTTTTACATAGTTAGCTAGGGCATGAAATGTTTATTACAAATGATCAAATATACTAATTATAGGAAAATATAAACAGATGGCGATAAATTCTTCCTATTTCTCACAATCTCCCAATGATTAGACTATTTTATCCAAAGAGATAATTCAAATGTACTGATTCTAGAGACTTAAAATTAATTAACATAATTAGGTGTGATGTTTCTTACCTATAATTAAAATTTACCATCCTTCTTTTAATAAAAAGAGGTCTAGAGGTATTTATCAGGTAGAAAGTAAAACAGTCTTCTGTGAAGGGGCAATTTCCCAACCAAAAAATTATTTCTATAGTTTTTTTATCTTTTAGACAGAAACTACCAGCAGTCACAATTACGATGATATGCTTCAAGTGAAAACACTAAATAAAATGTGCTTTCATTTACTTTTTCACATTTCCAACTAAAACAGAAATACAAGTTTAAGACTCATCAACTCCCCAATACATACTAAAACGTTAGCAGATGTAGCTAAGGGGTGAAATACGTGACTTCTTATTCTCTTCTTTATACGTTTCTATAATCTTCCAGATTTTCCCACAGTGAACATTACTTTTATATTTTTTAAAAAATCTCATTTAGGAATAAACCAAACATATTATGATAGAGGTTCATTTAGAAGGGCTCCCCACGTAGTACAAGTATTACTGATATGATTCACCATTAAAGATAATGCCTCCATACCTTCTCCCTTCCCAGCATTAAAATGCTGCTGTTTTAGGTCCTATTACTCTTCTGCTGCTCCCTCATTTCTATTTATATAAACGCATTTAATTTTCCCATAAAACAAAGTTCTCACTAATCCTAAACAGTCCTATTTTTTAAAATCTACCTCTAAATTTCGTTATAGCAAAATTAGGGGGAAAAAAGAGAGTTTTACCCACTAAGTACAACTTCGTGTGGCCACCATCACTTTAGCTATTGGAAAGTCAAGGCCGGGTAAACTACACGTCCCGCCATGCACTGCTGCCTTGTTCTGAGTAGGTCTCTACGGAAACAGAAAAAAAAAATTCTACAAGTCCCACCTGTTACTTGGTTTCTAAACACCTCCTGCACTTTCAGCTCCAACAGCAAACAAAAACAAGAGCCCCGTGACCTCACGTTGGCTCTGGGCGCCCAGACAAGCAGGGAGCCCGAGGTCAGGCGACTTGTCTGCTCTAGCCGGTTAATTCTACCCAGCTCCTGCGCTCCCCTCTTCTTTCCGGGGCTGGGTGCACGCACAAGCCTTCTCCTATATGCATCCAATGGGGGCTCTTCAGGCGCACAAGGGAGACGAACCGGTTACTGGGCAAGCACAACACACTTCCCCAAGCCGGGGCGGGGGCTACCACAGAGTGGGGTGAGAGCGACGTGACCCCGAAAGGCAGCTTCAGAACACCTAGAGGACTCATTGCAATCGCAGGGAGAAGCCACAGCCCCGCGGCGACCCTCTTCCGCTGGGCGCCTCCATTCCCACAAGGATTACAATCCGACACTAACCGCCGCCTCTCGGCGCGATTTTATGCCCCCTCAGCCGGGTCGCTGGGCCAATGACCTCCCTTCCCCTGCGACCGGAGGTTGGCAAGGGAACAAAATCCTCCCGGCCTTCCCCTTCGCTCCTTCCCCCTTACCGTCTTGGCGGCCTCCGCCCAGGTCCTGCCCTTCTTCCTACGGCCCTTTTCCCTCATGTCGGGTCTTGAACTGACTGGGAGGCTCCCGTGTCCGGGCTCCGGCCGCCCTCCCTCCCTGCTCTGCCCTGCGCTGTTTTTCCCGCGGTGCCGGGAAAGGTGGGAGAAAGGGGAAGTCAGGCCGGAGGAGCACCCAAGCGGAGGAAGCGGCGGGGGTGGTGCGCGGGGGGGTGGGGGGGACGTCTATGAGGCGGCCGGTCCTCCTGCTGCCGTTGCCACTGCTACCACCGCTGCCATATTGGGTCCTTACTGTACTGGGAGCCGCTACGGTCATGTGACGGCTCCCGCGCGGCCGTCACTACTGTACGCAGTCGGCAGCGCGAGCAAGCGCGCGCGCGCACCACCGCCCACCGCGCGCGGCTGCAGAGAGAGCGAAGAGGCGGTCCGCGGCGCCTGGCCACGCCCATGCACTTCCGCTCTCCGTCTCTCCTCCGGAGCAAGCGCGGGAGGACGGTACGACTCCAGTCGGCTTCGGGCGTCTGGCTCTCACGCCGACCCCGAAAATTTCCCTGCGGAAGCGGAACCTGATCCATGCCGGAAGGTTTATTGAACGGATTGCGACCGCGTGCGAGGCGCCGCCTTGGCTGTAGAAACTTGGAATAGAGAGCCTGTTCACTCACGGAGCAGCCCTCCCAACTATCACCTTCAGTAAACCTTGTACTTATACGTTTTCTCATTTGTCTATGTTTATCTTTACAAAGGATGTCTTTATGAAGATTTGTAACAATTTTCTTTTACTTAATGGATGAAGAAATTTGAGATTGAGTGATTTACCAAGCTCACAAATCTGGAATATAGAGAAACCGAAAATCAGATTGCCACCCGGAGCCCTTGCCATCACCCAGGAATGCCTCTCAAACTTAGGTGACCTTTTGTTAAGGCCACCAATAACTTCATTCAGACTCTTGCATGTGAATTGCCTCATCAGAGACACAAATGGTGTCTTTTTTTAATCTTGGTGAGCTCAGTTCGGGCACAGTCCCTGTACATATCAGGCTCCCGGTAAATATTTGCTGAATGATTCAGCCATGTCTGCAATCAAAAACCATTATTTGTGGTGTTCATAGCAGCCTCCTTAAAGATCAAGAATGTGGCATCTTCTGTCACATTATCCACGTCTTTATATTTTGAAAAATACAAAGAATGTGTAATAGCACCTACTGATCTCCCAAATCAACCTGCTTCAAGAAGCAGCTTCTAGTCTACTAAACTCACTATATTCTGAAACAGGCCTAAGAGTTTGGGCTGCTTCTTGAGGGAAAGACAGGTGAGAGCAATACTTGGAGTCCATGGATGGGTTTCAGAAGTTCACTGACTCCCTAAAATTATGGACAAAATTTTGTACGTGTTAATAGTTCAGTTTTTGAGAAGAGGATTCCGAACTTTTCCTCAATTTTTCAAAAAGGGTCTGTTACACTAAAAAAAGAAGTCAATAGGGAGTTTTAGAGGCCACCTAGATACTAATATTTCTCTTGAAATCATTGGTATGGATATATTTCCGCAAATTCCTTTCGTAACTCATAGCATTATCCATCTCTAAAGCCTAGGTCTGTAGTCAGTTCAAGAAAATCCTCTCCATTCCCAACTCTTGACTGGGACTTACCAACCAGCCTTGTTCACTGGACAGTCTTATCTCATCGTGTGTTCATACCCAGTTAGGCCAGCTACTCCCACTATTTTTACAGTCATACACTGTACAGTGATATTTTGGTCATTGCCCAACCACATATATGACAGTGGTTCCATAAGATTATAATGGAACTGAAAAATTTCTATCACCCAGTGACATGGTAGCTTTCATAATGCCATAGCACAACGCATCACTCAGGTGTTGTGGTAATGCTGGTATAAACCCTGCTGCACTGGCAGTCTTTTGAAGGAATAACACCTACAATTATGTATGGTGCCTAATACTTGATAAGAAAGGACTGTTACTGGTTTATGTATTATATTATACTTTTTATCATTAATTTAGTGTACTTTCTATTTATTAAAAAACAAAAAAGTTTGCCCTGGCCAGTGTGGCTCAGTTGGTTGGAACATTGTGCAGTATACCAAAAGATTGGGGGTTCGATTCCCTGTCAGGACACATATCTAGGTTGCGGGTTCAGTCCCCTGTAGAATTGCATGCAGTAGGCAACGGATCGGTGTTTCTCAGTCACATTGATGTTTCTCTCTCCCTCCCTTCCTCTTTCTCGCTTGCAAAAATCAATAAACATATATTTTTTTAAAAGTTTGCCATAAACAGTATGCCCTGTTAACACTGTCAGCAGCCTCATGCATCTCATGATTACTGTCTCTTGATTGTATCATTTTCTCTTGTGCTTGATTTAATTTCATGTAGTTTTGTACAGTAACATGTTATATAGGCTTGTAACCTAGGAGGAATGGGCTATACCACATAGCCTAGGTGTGTAGTAGATGGTACCATCTAGGTATTTGTGTAAGCGTGTCTGTAATGTTCACTTAATGATGAAATCACTTAATGATGCATTTCTCAGAATGATTCCCTGGCCTTAAGGTGGTAATTGAATGTATTTCTGGAGCTCTATCGCCAGATTTTCTTTTTTTTTAGGAGACATTTTAATCCTTACCCAAGGACATGATTATTGATTTGAGAGAGGGGAAGGTAGGGAGAGACAGAGGGAGAGAAACATCAGTGTTAGAAGGAAACATTGACTGGTTCATTTGCACATGCTGACTGGGGACTGAACCTGCAACCTAGGCCTGTGCCCTGACTGGTAATAAAACCGCAACCTTTCAATTTACTGGATGATGCTCCAACCAACTGAGCAACACTGGCCAGGGCCCCAGTTTTAATTTCAAGGGTAGGGACTGCGGTATTGCAGTTCCTAGTTTTTCAGCTTTCACAGATCTGGATAGTTTATTCTTATTAAATTATAATTCCCCAGAGAGCATTTTTGTTCCAATGTTTATTAATTCAATTTGTTATGCCTATTTGCATCTCTTGCGTCATTTCCACCATAGTTGCCAAATTCCCTGAATGTTCTGTCCCTACTCCCATCCTATTCCAGGCCATCCTTCAAAAGAAAGAAAAAAATCTTTCTTCTTAAAATCCCACTTACCCACCTACTATGATACCCTCCATCGTTCCTGATTAAATCAAGATTTCTTAGCACTACTTTTACTTTAGCCTCTTCATTTGGCTAATAACACTGATCCATACATCATATAAAAATTAGTGGCCACCAGGTACAGTCTCACCTCGCCTTTATTCAACCCCTAAGTTTACCCATGAACTTGCTAATGCTAACCTCCTCCTGACCATAGGTTAATCTCCCTTGAGTACACTGCACACCATACTGTATACAAGACCCCATCCCTTCTCGCCTTTTTTGAAATGTTGCTCCTTAAGCTATCCCTATTTATTTCATTATTTTTTAACTCCCTTCCACCCCTCCTACAAGTATACTCAAGATCCTTCCAGCTTAAAGAAAGAAGTCTCTTTACCCTACCACCCTACCAAATTATTTTTCTCTTGTCTTTGCGCATAAGTATCTTGAAAGTGTAACCTATACTCACTGTCTATACTTGCACAGTGTCCACCCACTCTTCTCCTCTTCTAAGTGTAACAGTACTTTCCTCTACATTAAGAGATAGCATCCACACTAACTGAAGAGAAGAATCTGTGTTTGGATGGCGGAAGCAGGAGATCATACATATAGTTAGCACTCCAGATCAGCTGCAGTGGTGGGGTCTGTATTTCATCCCACTCTTCTCTGTTTAGAAGCTTCCCTCGGAAACAGAAGCCCACCAGAACCTGGAAGGCCTGCACCCAGCACTTACACAAGTAAGTGATGCCAGGGATACAAAAGGGACTGTAGAGGACACTGCCATTCACTTGCCATCTGCCTTCTCAGGACTGAAGAATTCAATCCCCCAGCTGTTAGGAGTTTTCTCTGGAAGCTTCCTCAGCTGAATAGAGCCATTTTGCCAAAAGTCACTTCACAGGACAGCTGGCATTCAATGACTGGTTGAGGCAGGGTATTAAAGGCCTGGCCACCTCACACCAACTCAGCACAACCCAGCTTCAGAGTTCCCATGGAATTGGGTGCAGCATTTGTCAAAACTGCATCAGAGCCTAACTTTTTCTGCCCAGTTTTGCTGCCTCCACTTCCCCACAAGTGTGGATCCTGAGGGCGCTCTGATAAACTTCCTGTGCTAACCTCCAGCTCACAGCCTACTTCCTGGAACTCTGCTCTGCAGCGATGCTGGAGTGTACATATAAAATTTCTGGAAGGATACATAAGGTATTAAAAGGAATCTGAGCGCAGTGGGACTGGTGGCTGGGGATTATGGGAAGAAGATTTTGTTTCTTTTTTAATAAGATATTAATTGTGATTATTAGTGAGAGCTAACTAATCGTTTTTACAAAGAGGGAATTATTTTTTTCTTTTCTTCCTAGATTTGCTCTGCTGCCACTTGGGAAGCAATCTAAAATTTATTGAATTAAATTGTTTTTATCCCATGGGGAAAAGTACGCTACAGCACCCCTGCTAAAACATCACACTATACTCCAGAAATAAAAAGAACAAATATGGACAATTCACAAAAGAGGAAATGTATCAGGTAATAAACATTTAAAAACAATACCTACTTCATGAGTATCAGTGAAATCTAAATTAAAATATAATTAACCAATAAAAATGTATTTAAGAATCTTGATTAAACATGTTTATATAAAAATTAATAAAAATTTTTTTTTACTAGCACCTGTTTTGGTCCTGGCTGGGTACTTCTGTTGGTTAGAGCATTGTCCACATACACCAAGGTTGTTGGTTCAATCCCTGTTGAGGGCATGTACAAGAATCAACCAATGAATACATAAATAAGTGGAACAACAAAATTGATGTCTCTCTCTCTCTCTCTCCTTTCCTCTCTCTCTAAAAGCAATAAATAAAAAACAAAAGAAAAAGAAAAATATCTCCCCTAATCTTTATTTTCTTCCTTCTACTAACTGTTAGCTTAGTTTGTTCTTCCTTTTCTAGTATTTTTTTTAAAGATGTTATTTATTTATTTTTAGAGAGAAGGGAAGAGAGGGAGAAATAGAGGGAGGGAAACATCATTGTGAGAAAGAAACATGGGTCTCTTGCTTCCTGCAGGTGGCCCAACCAGGGAACATACCTGCAACCCAGGCATGTGCCCTG